ACACCAGCTCGTGATCCGAAGTAAGATAGGTAGTCCACATTGATTTGCAATCCCGTATGCTACCACGCCAGCGAGAGCTAATGGCAATGTGGTCATTTTGCGTCCATGGCTGGCCAGGTGATGGGGTCTCCAAGTGGCGCGTTGGCGTCAGAATCCCCGAAAGTTAGTGGTCAGCAGAAGGGAACCTCTACAGGAGCAAAGCATAAGTAAGCGATCACCGTTGTCGGTTCTGTGAATGCCAAAGCCGTGTTGACCACGGAATTCACGTTCATCAACTCCAATTCTACCGACCTGCCCGTTCAAGTCCCCATCGAACACCACGTTGTCAGTGCAGAGCATTTTACGTAGGTCTGTCAGCTGACCATATAACTCGTCCTTACCAGACTACGATATGCAGTATGTGGCAGCGTACGCTGCGACAACCAAAAGATAGCGTCTGCTGGTTTCTCGCTTGGACAGCCGTACTGAGGTTTAAACTCGGATCGCGCAGAGTCGACTGTTGACAGAAATCCAGTCTAGTGGCGCTGGTTCAGCACGTGTGATCAACGCAATCCCGACGCCAGCATAATCAGTGGCTTCAGCTTTCGGGTCTCCAGAAAGGTGCAAAGTGTAAATGTCAGTGAAATTTGCAGATGGTTAAGCTAGTCGTAGCTTCGTGTTTGAATCCAGTAAACTGGTCTCTCTGAGGCAGCAGACATCAATGGCCGTGGTTTCTAGAGTGTCAACAAGGGCTGTCTTCAATCAAATCTGCATCAGCGTCCAAATATCAATAGCTACCAGCTGGAATTGGAAATGGGACTCTAGAAATGACTCGTCAACATGATTTGGCACACCCTCAAACCTCGGCACTTATGCCCATGAGAGCGTTTTCTCAAGAGGTCACGGTGTTGTGGACACGAAAACGGAGGGGTAAGACCAAGAATGGGGGTTAAAAACCATGAATAACTTTTTTAAACGGTAGTGCGGTCAAACGTGATCTGTCAAATTCGCCCGCCAGCATCTCAGCCGAGAAAAGTAGTTCGAGGTAGTCAGCGCGGAGGGAGCGAGCGAAGTATTGATGAGACATTGATCCATAGCTTGTGGGGACATGGTGCTTTCCGGTTTCTCAGGCCGAAGTAGAAGGTTGACTAAGGAGACCCCACTCGGAGCCTTTGCTCAGTAAAGACCTAACCCACAAGGCGAATGACGTATATAGCAAACCGTCGAGAGCCGACTGTCTTGGTAGAGATAAAACGGCTTTGGAGTGTAGGCAAATTAATCTGGACTTCAAAAGAGTCCGAGTCATACAGCAAGGAGTCCAGAATTCCCTAGAGAGTACCGAACTCGTTGTTGACAGCCAGGTAGCTCATACGTCTTCAGAGAGGTCGGTGGCCATCGAGGTTTTTCATCCGCCTTCCGTTAAGTACTCACTTCGTAACCCGATGTGAGTGGTCAGTGACCCTATAGCTGGTCACATTGACTTTGACACTGTCATACGAGCTTTTGTGGTATTTAAAGTGGTACCAGGTGATCAGCCCATAACCCGCCACGTTCTAGGACGCTGCTCCTGATTATTTGCAACTGCTTATTTATCTCGCCTTCAGACAACCGAGACTTATTAACCGTAGCTTTCTCAAGGATAGCATTTCTCTATTCACAAACTGGGGACGCGCACTGTGTCGTGAAGCTTCACCGAACCAACCAGTGGTCAGTTCACTTCCAGGGTAAAGCATACCTTGTAGACATTTTGTTGAACTGAGTTGACAAGGAGATGACAGAATTCGGAATAACCTTCCATGGCTGAGAGCTTCGAATGGCAAAGGCTATGGCGGCACTCTAGTCTCTCACATTTGGTAGCCAATTATAGCTACTGGCCCCTAGTATTGTGGTGCGAATAGGCAACAAGTAGCATTAGTAATCGCGACTTTGGTTTTCCAAAAGCTGATAGTTCACTATTTCATTCCGTTGACGACGATAAATTCCGCCATACACTCCTAGGGCATGTAATCGGAGATGGTATGCCAGATAGAGCAAGCTCATCACCTATTTGGTTACCTTTCGCTGTGATGTCCTTAAAGTAGGCGATTCGTATTTTAGGCAGGTTTGTCTGTCCTGAATCGCCTACTCCACGTGAGGCCCCCAGATATGTATTGATTGAAAACTCCTGGTGGTGCGTCGAAATAACGCCGCGTTTTAGAACCGTAAAGCTGCGGCTGCGTTTTCGGCGCTTGGAGTATATACGTTTGTTGCAATGAGTGTAAAACACCATGCTTCACTTACCGGAAGCTGTCCACCTGTTTGTGCAGTCGCCGCCTACTGTCACAAAACATTTCCATCAAATACATTGCTAGTGTGTTTCTGTCCTCACTAACAAGTGTGATGTGGGGATTACTCTGCACCAAATATTTGTTACAGCTATCAGGACGAGGGTTAGCCGCATACCCATACCATACCCACGTGTCTTACTGCAATTTTTTCACTGCTTCGATCAAATTACTGATCTGTTTCAGAACGATGAGGCCTGTTTTACACAAGGATAGGATAAGCTCACTGAACGTGTTAACAAATCTCACCCAAATAGTATCACTGAATTCATCCAAACTTTCAAGATGGCTTCGCCAAAGAGTTCTATTGGTAAGTCTTGAGATGAGTTTGTAGGGAACAATTCAATGTGTTCCTGCGGACACTCCGAATAACCCATATGGTCATACATATGATGACGGGTTAACTAAGCCCTAGCTTACTGTCTGCCTTGACTCAGGAGTAAAGAGTTCTTGGTTCGTGAGCACTCAATTAAGCACGAATGGTTATTTTAGGCTCTAAATCTGGTAGCCGAATTTGCCAAGCTGAAGAAAAGCGTGGTTACGATAAGCCCTGGAACTGCTCAATTGGAGGTGCCGAAACATCTAACTGTGTATCAGTTATGTCATCTGAGATGAGAACATAGCTGTATCGTGGTTGATGAACCGTCCAGAAGTCTAATCTCTGACGGGAGTCCATCTCCTGCTCAGGTAATTGGAATTAATTACCCGTGAACACGGTCACATGGCTATGATGCATACTAGAATATAAGGTGTAAAATCACCCAGATTAGCATGAAATACATTTGCCACTTCCAATACAAATTCACTACGCAGTGACGCTGCCTTTTATCAAATTTAAGGCAAGCTAAGGTTCATTTAATAAAAGTGCATCCTTGCACACCACCACCGACGGTTTCGCATTTTAGTTTAGACTCATCAGGTAGAGATAGCCGAGCTGGGAGTGGAACTCGACGCATAGTGGTTGGCGGCTATCGCTAAGATTGCCAGGCCATTGAGCTCCACGAGCAGTGTTTGACACAGCAGTTAGAAGTAGATTTTCAGGATTTGGAGCACCCGCCGTGTGTCTTGGATTGCGACGCACAATCTCACTCGTGGTGTCGGTTGATTTTCGAGACAGCCGTTAACGGTCATGGAGTGCAGGGATGGAAGAGAGCCACACCGAAACCTTCTACTTCGGTGACGGTCCCGGTGACTCTATTGGCAGACGCTGACTTTAAAGTCAACAGACGCCACGAGTGAGATTTCGCGCCGCAATGCAAGACACACGGTGGGTGCTCAGAAACCCGAAAAAGTGGCTCCTCTGTACTCCTTTATGTAGCCGACTTGAGGGGTTATTAGATTTTATTGGACGAATATTTTCTCTGTCTCGCCAGTTTATATCAGTACATAAGGTTATGGCAAGCGTCAATAGGCGTTATGCAACTGCGAATATTGGGGCACAAAGCTGGACACATAATTGATAGTTGGCCACATGGCGAACCTTATAGACCCAGCTCTACGTTATTCAAAATGAATAATCTGGATTCAAATATTTCGCGTATTCCTATCAATCATTTGCCGTTTCACCGTACTTGCACTAGCGAACAGATCGGCCAAATTGGGAGGAGACTGTTCACAATGATTTCAGAGCATATTCTGAGAAACTTGTTCGCGCATGTTTTGAAACTGCTTGCTAGTTCGATAGTCAGACACAACTTGACTTCTCCTTTTGTAAAAACCCTCCTGAATCATTTAACGTAATCGACTGACAGAGTGCCGTCCGCCTGCTTTAATTCACCGAGACTTCGGCAATAAGTCGGTTGAAAACCAGTTTATGTAACCAGACCGACTTTGTCGCTAATCTCACCCTGCCTTGATGAGGCTGATGGCCAAATTCATTTCGGCAGGTTGCCGGCCAGCATCAGATGAACTTTGAACGTTTTCAATTCGCGAGGTTGCATTTTGAATATCTCTGTATGCAATCTAAGCATTTCCACTAATTGTATATAAACGGCCGACGAGAATACGAGAAACAGTTGAATTCAAATTATTCTGTCAGATTATCCTTCTTACCACTTCTTTATTATTACTTTGGATTTCCGAGATACGAAACCAGTTCAGTAGGATTTAGCGTTTCTATGATATGGTAGGACAATTTATAGCCAGAAGCTCCGTCCTTTAATGGCTGAAAACGAAGATGGTAAAGACGGTAAATATTCACCTGAAATAATAGTTATCATATTGAGTGATTCTACTGAGTAAACATTTTGTTGTGCTACAAAAATGGTGTTTGTAGGGTCATTTTAAACTGCTTGTTCTGTGATTAGGTTGCGACGTGAGATCTAACTACGAACCGATATTTACACTGAAGCGCATGTTGGCCATTTCAATCACGAAGACCGTTGCTGAAGCGCATGGAAATTGGATGTTGTCCACTCGTAAACACTGTGCTCCGCTATGCGTTCCGACCTTGTTTGATCTCAATCCCAGGACCACTGCGATGTTCGTTGGTATACCCATTTAGCCAACCAGTCACGACGGGAAAGCTTGGCCAAGATTGGTTAGAAGGAAAATTCATTTGCCTGACTTCAAATAAAGGACCAAGAGGGCTACATATGTCTTGCTTTGCCACATCGGCACGACATCCATTTGTGATGTCGGCTGCCTTAGCATCAGTAAATGCAAGTACTTGCATTTTTCGCGATTTCCTTTACTCAGGTTGGCACATGGTCAATGAGCAGCAGATGGGGTAAGTTCAGATCGCGCCTCCGGATCGATGGCGTCACGTGGCCCGGTGGAGCTAATTCACCGCCGAAAGGCCGGCCTAACAAGTTCAAGCTGCGTGTTGTCACAATCAAAGAAAGACCATTTGTGATTTACCACAGGCTTGGAGTGAGTCAATTTTACTAAGGCGTAAATATAAGACATGAAATACGTCAAAATTATCTTGTTCGAATTGCATCTTGTGCTCTATGAAAAATAATTCATTTTTAACTAATTGCAGCCGGTACCGAATGTCAACGGACAGATATACAGCCACATTTTACTGTCTAGGCTTTATTTTATTTTACCTCCTACCTAAACACGATTAATTTAGACAAAGTAATCCAGTAGTCATTATTGGGATAACCAGCTGTCAAGAAATTAATGGTACGCACTAATCTTGCTTTAGGGTTAAATTAAATTAAAAACAAAAAACTGGAAAAGTGATTTCGCGTTGCATGTTACGAAGTCCATTGACTTGTCTGGATAAGAGGGTGAGGTTCGGTGCCATCTCACCTAGTTTTCGAGGAAACATTTTCCGAGAATTAACCCTATGCTTTCATGAAAAGAATTTGGTTGCTCCACTGGTATTGCATGAAAAGCATGTTGCAATGGCGTAGTACAATTTAAAAGGAACAATGCTGCATCGTAACGTAACTTAAGTAAAAACGTATGGGTAATTCAAGCTGATTACATTTACATGGCAACGAAATTGGGATAACTTGGAAAACTACAGCAATACATGATTTTCGCTGGCCATCTCTTGTTACGCTTTCATACCATGATGACATCGGGAACTCAATTTAATCAACGTGAGTTTGGAAACGATCAATTATGTATGAAAAGTGAACGCGTGGAATTGTTGTGTCCACGGCTACCTGCGACTGAGACTTTCCTTTGCAAAAAGCGGGCTTGCTCTGGTTATTAGCAAAGAGGTCAGAAAAAGGTGAGGAGCTGCTTAACATTGTGACATCGTGTTTCTGTACGCTATTCCTTAGTGAAAACAGTTCATATCGCTTATACATGCGACGTCTAGTTTACTAACATACAAAGCCTAGGAAGAGAAGCAAAGTTTGATTTCCCGTTAAAATCTGTTTCTTGCGTTTATTTATTACGGGGTTTGTAGCTTCATAACTTCTACTTCTTCTTCTACTTCTACTCGTTGTAATCGTTGTTGAACTGTCATTTCTACCCTATGCTAACATCTAGCTGTTATAAAATAATACCCCAAGAAAATATTGGAAGTAAGACTTAGCGTACAAGCTCATTTACAGTGCATCATCATCAGGCTAGTGCAACCACATTTATGTGGGTCCAAAATGAACACGTGAATTACAAGCATCAATTAATCAGCCGGAAGCATAATCTAACCCGTTGTCTCATTGAGAGAGCGAGACGAATATATACAGAAGACACGCTATCTGAGGAGCTAAGCTTCATCCGAAGGAGTTTCGAACGCAATGGGTACCCAGAAATGTTCATCCAGAAGCACGTGGAGCCGCAAGTACCGAAGATGAGACCTGTTTCCGCAGAGCAGCGCCCAATATACGTATCGCTACCGTTTAATGGTGACGCGATAGCGCAGCGAACCACCCGAAGGCTTACCCTAGCCACTGTCAAAACGTACTTTTCGGCCGACTTACGTATAAGCTTCACCTCAACACCAATTGTCCGCCAACAGCTCAAAGACAGGGCATCGCGGTCGCAATTTTCCTTTTGTGTGTACAATTTCTCTTGCTCGTGTCAAGCAAGGTATATTAGAAAAACGATCAGGCGACTTTCCGTAAGAGCTCGCGAGTATAGTCCAGCCTGGCTATCCAGTGGTGTGAGGAAGGATATGACAAGCGCAGTACTGTCACACTTAGTTGATACCAACCACAAAATCAACACAAACGATTTATTCCAACTGATCCACTGTGTGCCAGTACGTCACACGAGAGCTGTCAGATGCCGCCTGCTGTCAACAGCAGAGGCAATCGCAATTCAGCTCCATAACCCGGAGTTGTGTGCACAGAAGAATCTCGTGCAGACCTGTCTACCCTGTCCCAATACTAAGCCAAATAGGCAGACATTTCACGCCATTCCCTCCGACTCCACACAGGTCGGGCTAATCACATAGCCTTATTGATGAGATATGTCATGTATTGATGCCTGTAATTCATGTGTTTATGTTGGACCTACATATTTGTGGTTGTACTAGCCTGATGACGATGCACTGCAAACAAACTTGTTCGCTACGTCTTACTTCCAATCTTTTGGTTACTCGAAATTGTGCACAAAAGGACGGTGCCATCCAAGGGCTTTCGTCTTCGAATATCATTAGTTTGAAGTATCAATTGAATTGAACGGACACTTCATTCATGAAGGTTCCACAAATTCGAAATGACGCTTTTACCCAATACAGTGCGAAGTTTATGCTCTTTTGCAAAAATAAGCATACACTTCTGCCCCAAATGCACACCGCGTGGCCAACCTAAGTAGTGAACAACATCTGCCTACGCGTGCAAATAAAGTCGGATGTTGTCATACAAAACAACTGGTAATATTAATCAGTGGGACCAAACTTCCGGATTGTTGCTGTTGGTTTTGAAATGTCAAGAAGGTCTTTAATAAATTGATATGATTCACAACAATATGCACTGACATTGGAATGCGAAAAAGGCTGTTTTACTTAACTCTAACCATTAGCTACGACTTCCATTACACACAATTATATATGGTGCATACTGATCGGGTAAATATGCTGAATGTCGATTCATTGGTAATTCATCGCGGCGGCTTCCAGGTCACCTAGAATTCCGCATGTTCGTACAGAACTTGTTTCGCATTATTTAGATTCGTCAGTGGTGCACATCAGCTGAATATCTGAGGTCCAAAAATCTTGACTTATCGACGTCAGCAGCATGCGCCACTAGCCAGCAGCATATGTCAATAAACGGTGCGTATTGACAGCGGACCGTCATCATTTGCACGCCAATCGGGACATGGAATTGTCAGCTGTACGCCGTAACGGTGCTTCGCCGCCGTGAGACACCACCAGTCGCACGCGGGCTGAGTTTACTCCACGAACACCCAACCCTACGCGGATTCGAACTCGCGCCGCAAGATTAGGAGACAAGTTCGTTTGGTCTAAGCTACGGGACATACAAAATGAGAAAATTATCGCCGGACTTAGCTAGCCGTTTGATCACTTCCCAAACTCAAACATCTGTGTGTATTTGATTGGAAGTTGGATTTAAGAAGAGCAAACGGTGTAAACATTCATCGATGTCTGCATTCTCGCAAAGTGTCAAACATTTAACCTGCGTGTGCGGTATTCGAGAGAGAGGCTCAGGAATAGCAGAAAGCAGCTCTCCGAGTGACTGAGATGAATAACAAAAGCAATTCGAATTTCAGCACATTGCGAGAGATTCTTTTCAAACTGAGTTAATTCGTAGCAGATTTTTGACTTGTTAGTTTGCTGCTTCGCGCTTTTGCTTGTGAGTCTACATAGACAAGTTGACCGTATCGTTACAACGGGGATCTAAGCTAGCAGAACCTTACAGCACAACAAAAATACTGGGAATTTTCACCCTCTAGCGATTAGTCGCAAGCGTACTGTAAGCGCTGGGTTATTACTAGTGGTTTACTTTACTAACCGATGCAACGTCCATTGAGAGTTGCAAACGAGTGAAGAAATATAGTTTATTTTCTCTGGCCACATAGTCACAAGAGATCCCCTAATCATCGGCGTTGGGCTTTATTCAGTCAATTTGCCCAGTGGGTGAATTGCCTCATTATGTTAATGTGGGATGGGAATTGGACAGCAACATAACCAATATTCTCCTAGTTAGACTGCAAGAGTTATTGAAATCGCCAGCAGCATTAGCTCATTTCCGATTTGTCTGCCGACATTTAAAAGGGCTTTCAGTACTGCGTACGACAAAAGAAAGTGAATAGACCACTATCAAATCGGTTTGCTTACTTTTCAAAATATTCATATTCATTTGCTAAAATTGTGGTTGTACGGTATGTATTGAAATTTAACTAGTTTCTGTTTATCGCATACAGCTGATCAATCATCCATTATACTGGTTAAAAATAGCTGCTTCCTTGCACAATTAAGAAATTTAGAGGACTTAGTTTTGTTCATCAAAACCGGCAGAACGTTACGTCACTTTCACTCAAGTTTACTGAATTCGCATCTACACAGCATTTAAACTAATGTATGGTTATCTTCTTTAAATATTTACCAAAGTAATGGAAACTTCAGAAAAATATATATGGATTTTCGCACTTCTGAAGATGGTTAGTGTCCTAATGATAGCAAATGTCTAGTGCTTCTGTTCAAAAGTATGTAGCGCATTGTCCGGCCACGCTTGCATTTTGTACCATTTGCTGTACGCTTCGTCGACCGCCAATGCACTAGCATGAATAAACAATGAAGTAAAATACTCAACTCACGGGATAAATAAAGATGATGACCATTTGCGCCATTATCATAGGGAAGTTCCTATGTAATCTACGTTTCCCGAAATTAACAAACGTTCAAAGTCAGATTTAAGTAGAAATGTAAGCTTCTCGGGTTAATGAAATATTTGGGTGTCACTATTTCCAGTACTGGCACACCACGACCACGGTTTCGTTCTGCTTTGGACTCGGCAAGTTTAGATAGCCTGAGTTGGGATGGAACTCAGAGATTAGTAGTTGACGGTTGACACGTTAAAGAGTTTGCTACTGAAATCCGCATACAACGCTTGGCACGGCGAAAGAATTAATAATAATAATAATAATAATGGCACGGCGAAAGTAATTCAAAGCTGAATTTAGGGAGCACGCTGTGTGGTTGTGTTGCTACTCGCAACCTCTATTGAGACCTCGGTACTCTTTGAGGAAAACCTCAGTCATTCCGATCTAGAGGATCGTATCCTGAATGAAAATATTTGGCTGTTGCTCTTCGCATCACTGGCACACCACGACCGCGGTTTCGTCCTTGTTTGGACTCGTCTGGTGTGTCTGTTAGGAAGAGCAACACCCAAATATTTCTATTCGGGATACGGTTCTCGAGATCAGAATGACCATGGTTTGGCTAAAAGTGAACTGAGGTCTCAATAGAGTTTGCGAGTCACAACCCAACCGCACAGCGTGCT